TATATAGATATAGATATATATATATATTTTCTTATATTTCTATTTATGTATTATATTGCATTTTTTAATTAGTTAGTTTTCTTATATTAGTGTTATATTTCATCTCATACGGTGTAACTCTCAGGCTAATAGAAAACTTTTATTTAATAGTTTTGGGTACCAGGAAAAATACAGTGTTGCTGATTTTGGATATCAGACAAGACTTGCTGTTAACTGGTTTTGGTATCAGACAAAACTAAACTCTTCTGACAGGATTTGGTAGAGACTGGGTCCAATATTCATGGCGTGGAGATTCAATCTAAAAAAACTAAAAGAAATCAAACTTGACATGCATCTTTTCTCTCTGGTACTTGCCATCGAAACAGACCTTATGTTTTCACATACATATTGCGATGCATTCATTTATATTTACTTTTGATTTCAAATTAAATGTCTGCATTTAAAACTGATATCTTACCATTTTTGTTTGAATAAAGTTGATCATTTATTCCTTGATTTAATTTATAAGTGGCATTTCTCCATAGAGTAGTTCACTCCATTCATTTGTGCTGGCTCATAAAAAGCCCAACAATTCTGCTGATATATAGGTATACAGTGTGTTTTCAACATTCTCTTGAACAGAGCAAAGCAACACTTCAGACAGTATCTGAAGAGTAAGTAAGAGGCTTTAAGATTTAATTTCATTGATACCAAGTTACTAATTTTATTTTAGCCAAAATTATGGTATTGCAAAAGAGTAAGGATTCATGATTACAAAATAACAAGTGTAATTCTATTTTGAATTTCCATTGTCAACATTTATTATTGAATCCTGTCATGCAATATTGACTGGTTGAATGATGCATGAAAGTTGGCTAAAGTTAAATGTGATTTCAGACATATACAAAAATATATATATTTTTTCTATTAAAACCTTTATTTAAAACCATGCTAAAATGACACAAAAATTATACATGCTGTATTACCAAGCTTAACTGTAAAAACATTCTCTCCTTGCTGGATCAGCGATCATTACAGCTGTCTCAGACATGTCCTCTAATGATAGTGATAGACTATACACATGGCTACTCTAAAGTATTTTAGCTTTGCAGGATGCTAAATATATATTCTCATGTATGCATGTCCTGGTTGAACTGATATTTCTCTGCAATGTCAGTTGTGATCAGGCTCACTGTGCTGATGCTTGGCTGGAAACACCAGGGCCTTTGTCTGTGATAACAAAATAATTCCTTCCTCTCTGAGTGATGGCTGACAATAGCGGAGTGACTGGACCTTCAGCCATGCCTGCCGAAAGAAAAATAAATACTTTATTGACCGCAGTGAAGCAGAAAACAATGCTGAGGGTCTGACTGAGAAGCATAAGCAATTTCGGACACCTCAGATGCCTCAATTTCTGTCACCTCTCACCTGAAGCAACACAGTGACGCAAGGAATCTAGCAGACTGCTGCTTGAGAACCTGACCACCCCTCTGAAGAACTCCTCTCTGTCACTGAGGGTGTTGTTGCCATTTCCCCTGTACCTTGTCTCAAGCTAGAAGAAAACAGGATCCATGTAGTAAAGCCCATTTACACATTATTTGTTGTGGTTAATTGAAATGAAATGATTGTATTAAAAATGTATAAAAATGTAATTTTATGTAACAAACTAATGAAATTCAATCTAAAGATGGTTATGTGAGATCAGAGGTTTACACACTCACTCTATACACTGCTGTTTCTAGCTTTGGTGTAGGGCCATGTCCAAACGCCTCACAGGACATCAGATATCTCATCTCTTCATGGTCACTGTGTTCCTTTCCAATACAGGGATCTGTAAAAAGACCAGAAAAGATCAACAAAACTACATATAGATTATTTATAGTTAAGTTAAAGGATATATCACATCTATTCACTCACTGCTTTTACAATAGCAAAGCATAGCACTGTGATGAATTTAAATAAGAATGTTTGCTAATTCAACACAATGAACACTGTTCTTCTGAAGTTTCATGAAGTTTAATGTGGGCAATCTTCTATGAACAATTTTTTATTACAGATTTGGAATAGGATTTAAATCTGATTTCTGACTGGAATACTCTATTTTGGTTATAAACTTAAATCTAGTGTGTTTCTGATCATCTTATTTCTTTGCGGAGAGAGATTGTTCATATTTATTACCTCACATCAACTGTTTTGGTTCTTAAGCATGTAAGAAACACAAAAATAAAAACATGTACATACGAGATGGAAGGGCGTTTCTTTCCTGTAGGATCCTTGAGTGTGCACTTGGAAAAACCTATCAGTAAAAAATAAAATGTAAAAACATTATAAAATAAAATAATAAATAAATAAATAAAATAAGTTTAGTGTTTGTTATGCAAGAAATGTCAGTTAATTAAAAATTGGATGTAATGGATGTATCTCACCTCACAAAAGCTGATGACATGTTCCACTATCACCCATTTGGGTCTTGTGTAATCCAGGGCATAGAGCTGATCTGTTGATAAACAATTCCATTTCTTCAAAAGATTTTCTATATTTTTGTTCGGTATTCTCCGGATTACCCGATATAGAACAGATCTGACTTGTGCGTCCATCGGACGGACGAAAGTGTTCTTCCTTAAAAATTTATATTAATTATCATCACATCTTTCGCGTTTTACACGTTCAAAATAAACCGCCAGAAATCAAACAGAGATCTGAACCGGAAGTTCCTATCTAAAGCGGGTGGGCAATGACATAAAAGTCTTTTATATGCAGCAGAATTGCTATAGTGCATTCAAGTCCTGTCTAAATGATAGTATTCAAGGTTGAAAGCGAGTTGATGACACAATTTAGTTTAAGTTTGTTTGGTTTATTTAGTCAGTTCACAGTTGGCGAAGTGAAGCGCTCTGAACCAAAGGATCAATACTCGAAGCTTTGTAACACGGTTTTGTGTTATGGCCATCTGGTGGTCATAAAAATTAATATGGTTCTACAACTGATTCTTTGTTTTATTTTATTTTATTTTATTTTATATAAATAATGGTCATTGTCAAAGTCATTCATTTGTGTCGGTGTGCTGGCACTAAAATAAGTAAAATAAATTAAACATAAATTCATAATTTAAATCTGCAATCTGTCTATTTTAACTCTGCCTCAGTCCTGTTATTTCATAGGCAAAGTTAATTTCAGATTAATATATAAATTACAATATTGAAAAAAAAAAAGCAATGCTAACACATTATAAAGTAATATAATGTAAAGGAAACAGCGTTGAGGTTCACGTGGTTTGAACAAATGCCTTGTCCAAATATCCACACTTGCGGTCTTTGCACTTGACCACTTGACAACTTATATGACGTATTTCCTGTATTTGGCCCAAGTGTTCAAGTGAGGATGAAGACAAGTGTGTGTACAACTTTTCATTACCTGATGGGACCAGTGGCGGCTCGTCGGGGGAGGCAGGGGAGGCACAGCTTCCCCATAATTTTGAGGTGAAAATGGGAGGAGGACATTTAATGTTAATAAAATTCACAATTCATTTCAGTTCATGTCTCAGAATGTGTATTTTTTGTTTGTAATTTCACAGTTGTAATACCATAAAGTGAAAGTGCCGCTTTTCTATCGCGAATGTGCCGAATCTGCTGATGTAATTACAACCGCTAATGATAGAGAAGGGTAGGGGGAGGCCGGGTGAGCGCTGAGCTCTCGTGCCTCCGTTGGTAAAAAAAAGTAGCCAATCACCATCGAGTGTTCACTTTCAGTGCTGAGGAGTGTTGAGAAAAGAAACCTCGTAAGGGAGGCTAGCCTCCCTTCTGATATCAACCAATCATCACAGAAACGTAAATTACGTGATAGTAGTTTGAACGTCTGCCGCTGCGCTGATAATGTATCAAGTACTTATGATGAGTAGCGATATTGAATATTTGATTGCCAACAAATTTACCAAGCTGTCATTCAAACAGTATATATACAAATTTAGGGAAAACAGCCTAAGCTGGATATAGGCTACAGCAGTCGGCTTAATTAAATGGCGCAACAGGCAGCTCTCTTTTAACACAGACTTTTAAGAAGGGATGGATGTTTGCTTCAAGTGATAGGCCAGGTAAGTGAAATTATATTATCTTGCTGTATGTATGTCGTTTTCTTTACGTTTTCTGACTAAAAGCAACGACAAAAAGCCATTTTAAAGTGGTTAAGCAAATTATAATAATAATAATCGGCAGGGATCCCAGACTAATACAATTAGTGTGCCTCCTCTATTTTAAAACCCACGAGCTGCCACTGGATGGGACACACTTATAGTGTTGTAAAAGTGCAAGTGTTTATAGCTTTATTTTAAAATCAACTTCTAAATGTCTGTTCAGTAGGCCCTAGTCCCTATAACATGACATAATTTTAATTTGTGGTGCTTCTAATTAAGTGATAAAAAGCAGATGCAAATGTTGTACAAAATAAATATACTTATATTTGCACCAATAAAGCGTACAACACTTTGTTTTACTACCAAATTATTTGTAATATCAAATTATTATTAAAAGATGTGATTGCTCTTTTAACATCTAACAAAGTGACATCTTTTAGAGTAAAGGCTTGTTCTACCTTATTAACTAGTAGTGTTGTCAAAAATATTGACTTCAGTACCAGTCAGTACTGAAATTCAAAAAGCGCCCAGTCAAGAGCATGAAGTGACGATCATTGTGAACACGATGGCCAATCAGAGGTGTTTAAGGATCCACTGGTGATGTTGCTGGTTACTGTATGATGACTGAAATCGCGAAATGGCCTTATGCACTGCAGAAAGTTAACACCTGCACGAATGGCATGTATTCTGTCAACGCTGCGTGAGCTCGAGGCGCCAACTGCTGGACACCGTTAGCTTGTTAGGCAGGGTTCAAAGTAGAGACCTGCGCGGGACGGATTTTTCAGTCCCGCTCCCGCAAGATTATGTCCCGCGCCCGCCCGCTCCCACAGAAAAATATCTTATCTGGGCCCGCTCCCGCCCGCAAAAGCCCGCATAAAAGTAATGTGTATATAGATTTTTTTTTTAAGCACATCAAAGAAATTTACATTAAATGGCTCTGTAACATCTCCTAAGATCCACAACATACCCGCATAAATGCTCCCGATAAAATATTTGTTATTTAGGCTAAGCATCAACATTAACAAACCACTGTTGATTCTACCTCTGTTTCCTCTGATTGGCCATTGCGTTCCAGAAATCAACAGCTGAGTCTGTGATTGGCTACATTGCTAAACACGTGTTATAAATATAAAGTCTGCCTAGCTTGCGCGTTAATCATTTTAATGTTATTAGTAGTTCTGTTTGCTTGTGTGCAACACATAAATAACAATTTGTTTGTCATTTTATGTTTAGATAATTTCTATTTTGCGGGAGTCCCGCGAATAATTTTATTCTCCCGCATCCCGCACACATACGCTCTTCCCGCCCGCACCCGCCCTTGCCCATCAAAAGTTGTCCCGCGCCGCACTCTGTTGCGTTGGGTGCAGGTCTCTAGTTCAAAGTGCAGTAAGGATTAAAGGCAGGATATGTGATTTGGTTCAAAAACACTTTTAAAATCGGAATAATTTGGTATAAGTAAGTATTCACTGTATTTTGAAGTTCCCACGATAACAATATCGTGCATATTCATTACCGTGATATATCGCACTACCGAATACCGGCACAAGTCTAGTACAGACCAACTGTGAAGCTGAGAATCGAGGAAGCAGCCGCAAAGATTAAAAAAAACATCACTGCTGAGATGGCGAAAGTCAGCTATATAGGTACCACTAGTGATTGTTGGACAGCACGACAACGGAGTTACATCGGTGTAACTGCACACTGGATCGATTAATCTTCACTGGAAAGAAGGTCTGCTTCCATTGCCTTTAGACGCTTGAAAGGATCACATACGTTTGATTTGCTTGCAGGGACCCTGGATGACATCCACTCAGAATATGGCATCTCAGAAAAAAATAGTCAGAACAACAACTGATAGTGGATCAAATTTTATTAAAGCACTTAAGGTGTATGGCGAACAGAGTCAGCAAGAATTGATTGGTGCGGACTCTGCTGAGGCAGTGACACTGGAGAGTGAGGAAGACACAGAAGGTGTTGAGGTTCAGGACACCTGTTCTATTTTGAACACGAACAGTGGGTTGGAGTATCATCTACCCAAGCATCAGCGTTGCGCGTGTCATCTTCTTAATTTGGTGGCAACTGTGGATGCTTCCAAGGCAGAGGACAGCAGTGAGGTATATAAGAAGCTTACCCGTTCAACGTTTGCGAAATGCCAGGCATTATACAATAAAACCAGCCGGTCTGCCATCAATTCTGAGATCGTCCAAGAAGAATGTAAGCTGCAGTTCATTCAGCCCAACCACACAAGATGGAATTCTGTGTACAATGCTGCAGAGAGGGTAATGCGGATCCTAAAGGAGCAGGGAGAAGCATCCCTTCGGAATGTATGTACAGCATTCAAAATTAAAATGCAAGTCTGTTTGCTCAATCTCACATTGTTCTAATTGAAATTGTCCCGCGCCGCACCCTGTTGCGTTGGGTCCCGTGGTCCTCCCGCGGAGTGCAGGTCTCTAGTTCAAAGTGCAGTAAGCATTAAAGGCAGGATATGTGATTTGGTTTAAAAACACTTTTGTTATGCTGGTTGAAAGTCTCTAAACATCCCGATAGCAATCACTAAGACTAAGTTAAGTGGTCGAAATATTTATATGTATTTATATCACCTGTGGAAGGCTTAGGACTATAAAATGTTCGTCCAATCAAAATGTTCAGTCCGAAGATGAAGGTAGGCTGTCTTGCCTGCCTGTCAAAGTATGTATTTGCATACATATGTCATCAGCGCGTTCCAGCCAGAATGAAAGCAAAGCCTATAGAATACCCTTAGCCTTAAATAATATAATAGAATAGCCTTAAAGGGACTTTGATGAAAGGCGTTATTATTGTAATGTTATGTGCTTTGTACTGTAGTGTTTTCACTGGTCAATGAAATCATGTTTTTAAATCAGGTTTATTTTTTTTAAATGATGCAAGAAGAAATTTTTATTAGTGGTGACAAATGTGAGTTACTCAGTTTTGATGTGTATTCTTTTTACAGAGAAGGCATCCATCGAAATTAAAGCAGTACAATGAATGCGTCTTGAAAAGAAAAAACTCAGAAGAACAGAGGTGTTCGAGTTTGTTTGTGAAAGTCTCCAGCCCTTTACCATAGTTGAACTTCCAACATTCAAAAATCTAATCCATACAATGCAACCGAGCTGTACAGCTCCTCTGCTGAGGCAGTGACACTGGAGAGTGAGGAAGACACAGAAGGTGTTGAGGTTCAGGACACCTGTTCTATTTTGAACACGAACAGTGGGTTGGAGTATCATCTACCCAAGCATCAGCGTTGCGCGCGTCATCTTCTTAATTTGGTGGCAACTGTGGCTGCTTCCAAGGCAGAGGACAGCAGTGAGGTATATAAGAAGCTTACCCGTTCAACGTTTGCGAAATGCCAGGCATTATACAATAAAACCAGCCGGTCTGCCATCAATTCTGTGATCGTCCAAGAAGAATGTAAGCTGCAGTTCATTCAGCCCAACCACACAAGATGGAATTCTGTGTACAATGCTGCAGAGAGGGTAATGCGGATCCTAAAGGAGCAGGGAGAAGCATCCCTTCGGAATGTATGTACAGCATTCAAAATTAAAATGCAAGTCTGTTTGCTCAATCTCACATTGTTCTAATTGAAATACTTAAGGTGTTTGTGTTTGACTTTTTTTTTCCTTTTTATTTAATGGGCTAAGTCCTGCTGAAGTTTCTTACCTCTCGGGGGTGGCTGCTTCCCACCATCTATCTTCTTGATTCCAAGCTCAAAAAGATGGAGGCTTCCATCAAGGTATGTCTTCCCCTTATT